CCTTTCTGGTGAAAATACTACATACTCCACCTCTCAGTTTGCCTATGAGTAAGCTTAGCATGAGTGACGATTTCATCCCATTCAAATCTCTCACCATTCTCCATGAATATGTTGAACATTGTACCGATATCAGAACACATGATTTTGTATACATGTATACATGTATGTATACAACACACACACATTTGTATAGCATTTCATAGAACACATGTTGTTGCCCGTACGACTCTGTGCGATCAGACAAGTATGAATCAAACCATTCCAGAACAGTCCCACATAATGGGGCTCCAGTGGTGGAAAGGTTACAGTGTTCGCCTCTCACGCAATAGGTCCCAGGTTCGAGTCCCGATATATAAAGTGGCGTCCAAAAGAAACTTGAAAAAGTAATAATCCAATCGTTGTGTTAAAGCCATGCACTACCCATCATGCAGGATATCAGTTTAAAGCTCAATAATGTTTGCACTATCTGGCAGAATAATATTTCACCTATGTTAAGAGATGCCCGAGATATGGACCCTCAAAATTGACCTAAAAAAATCAGGGTAGGCAAAATTGTCCGAAATCGAAGAAACGTAAAAAGTGTGTTTACGCATGTATGAGGTGCATCATCGTTGGTGGAATGGATATACATTAAATATAAAATGAAAGGAGAAAATTATTGTCTCTGCAATGAACAGCATCTTCTGATAGTATTTTCAAAAAGGTTAGAAAACAGATTAGTCTCTAATACCATACTAAACTTAGACTAAACATTGCACGCGCTCATTAATGTGATTTTTGTTTGTTTAGGAGCTATTCGTTTTCATGTAGAGCACAGAACCTTTATGCACATGGCGTGGTAGTTAGATTATGGACCAATCCTCTGTCAGTGAGGAGCAGAGGCCATGAAACTGCGTTGGTTTTGGGTGGTCTGGGATGGAATAAACAAAACCGTTCGCATGTATATGTAAATCATCGGATGGCTTGGTTTAGTGAACTACATTGCGCATGTGTTGGAACGTCATGTTTTACGCTTATTTTAGCCATGGTGTCATTCAAGTAGACGTCTTCATTCATGGCAAATCACTTTCTTATTGGGCCTATGCCACTAGGCAATTCTTGGAAAACTATAATATTATCATATATATATATATCAACATTGGGGTGGTCACCAATAAATAACGCCGATGTGAATCCTACAAGTATGTGGAGTCCCATAAAACAGCAGCTGAAAAAAATCGACGTTGCTCCCAAATCAGACCCCGTCTGTGAAATTTGAGATGAAATGACAGATTATTGTCCAAACTTTAATAGAGCTGATGCCCAAAGGGTTCTTGCCCTACACAAAACCAACGGTTCCTAAGCAAAATGACAATGAGCACATTTAATGTCAAGTCTAAGTTTTGAGAGGTATTTGTGATTGCTCTGTTTTCCGTCTTGTTTGAAATTGTCTAAATTAAATTTTGTTAATTGCAGAGAAAAAATTCTCCATTCATTGTATCTGAAATGTATGCCCCTTCTATCAATATTGACGCTCCTCAATACGCGTGCGATGACAATTTAAAGTTTCTTTGACTTTGCACAATTTTGACAAGCCTGATGTTTAGGTCAATTTTGAGGGATCATATCACGAGCGTCTCTAAACATAGATGGAATATTATTGTGTCAGATGAATCAGAATTCATTTAGATTTAAATTGGTAAGCTTCATAGTGGGTAGCTCAAGGCTTTAACACGATGATTGGGTGATTACATTTTCAAGTTTCTAGTGGACGCCACTGTATAATCTCACCCCGCCAGTGATCCGTCTACTGTAACACTGGTCTGTCTTTCCTCATTTCTCTCACTTATCAACAACCCGCCCTCCCTTTCACTCAACCCTCCCCCCAACCCCTCTTTTGAAACGTGTATGCTGCATAAGTGGGTAGCGCAAGGCTTCAACCCTTTCATTGTCTGACCCAAATCGGTCTCTCTCGTTGGACTATGCGAATAAGCGAACTCTTTATGTTATACCCCGTATATATCCCCCCCCCCACTACT